TGAGAACGAAAATACAATGGAAGAGATACTCAAAGCCATAACTACACTTTGTATAAAAGTGGATAGTATGGACAACGAGATACAAAAGCTAAAGACTAATGAAGATAATCTGAAGTCTAAAGCTAGTCAGCAGCATGACTATAAAAATGCGGAGCTACTTAAAACCCATAATGTTTGTTTAAATACAGCTGCAGGTACAAGCAAACAAGTTAGCGATAAACAACATAAAAATGCTAACTTAAACCAGCTATTCGAAAAACCATTTACCCAAAGGACACCTAGACATATGTCCATAGAACCGCAAACATTTAATATGCCTTTTCATTTAGTTCATGCAACATGATTTACTAGTTACGTCCCGCTTTCTTCTTGCGTACTAGATAGCTTTGAGATGTTGTTTAGATTTCTACTTTTCTCTATAAAACTTTTATATGTTAAAACTATCTTTTAAATCTTTTAAATTCTATTATCTTGTGTGATGTATGGTAAGTGGCTAGTATGGGTCCTCTCGGGGTATTGTATGCCATGTTACGCCTAAGGTCTACCTTGGGTCATGACAAAACTTCACACCCATTGTGCAAGCTGCTTTAGTAGGAGACAAAATTTTAGTTTGATGATGCTTCTTTTATAGAATTTCACGGGCTGAAAGAGAAGTTGACTTGTGTAGAAATCATTATTTCACTAAATGGGGACAACCATTTGATGTTACGTGTTGTGCGAGTGGGGTGGCACTTGGCGTAGTATTGGGGCAGAGGTGAGAGAAGAATCTTCATCCTATATACTATGCGAGCAATTCTTTGAATGTTGCTCAAAAGAACTAGGTTTACATAGCAGGAAATGCTTGTTATAATCTTCGCGTTTGAGAAGTTTCGATCCCATTTCAATGCACTAAAGTCGTTGTGCATATTGGTCATTGGGCATTGAGGTATCTTATGGCACTGAAGGATGCAAAATCGAGATTGATTCGATGGGTATTGTTGTTGCAAAATTTTAATTATGAAGTGAAAGATAGAAAGGGAACGTAAAATCAAGTGGTTGATTACTCATCCAGATTCGAAGAAGAGGCAATGATGAAGTAAACTAATGGAATTGAGATAAATGATATGTTCCTCGATAAATATGTATTGTCATTTTTTTTATCTTATCCTTTGGTTCACATATTTAACCAAATTATTTGGCAAGCAACATGGTGCCTTCGGATTTGTCGTTCCACCAAACAAAAAAATTCATGTCTAATGTGAAGATGTTTTTTCTTGGAAGAGCCTTACTTGTTTCATGCTTGTGCTGATGGAATTATTCATCATTGTGTTCCCGATGTAGAGATGATGAGTATAATGGAATATAGTCATTCATCTCTTGTTGGTGGTAGTCATAGTGGTATTTAGACTTCTCATACAATCTTGCAATACGGGTATTATTGGCCTACTATTCACCAAGATTTTCATGATTTCGCTAAGTCTTGTGATCGTTGCCAAAGAGAAGGATATATTTGAAGAAAGCAAGAAATCCCAATGATACATATACTAGTGATTGAGTTGTTTGATGTTTGGGGTCTTGACTTTATTGGTCCGTTTATGAACTAAAATGGAATGAAATACGTACTTGTAGCAGTTGATAATGTGTCTAAATGGGTGGAAGCTATCGCACTTTAACTCAATGAAGTGAAGAGTGTCACCACATTCTCGAAAATCAATATTCTCTCTAAATTCAGTACACCACGGGCGATTATTAGGAATGGAAGTTTCCCAGTTTTTTTTATAGGTTTTGAAATGCATTTCTTGAGAAGGATGGTGTTCTTCACAGTGTAGAAACTCTATATCATCCACAGTCTAGTGGGCAAGTCGAAGTGTCAAATAGAGAGATTAAGCAGATCTATAACGACTCGGAAAATTAGTAGGTTGAACTAGAGCCTAAACATAAGGTTAAAATCTACAAAATGACTCCCCCTAGATTAGTAGACCATGTAAGGATTTTATGAGGATCTTAGGAGTGAACAAGTGCCAAGTGAAAGGGGCAAGCCAAGGCCAAAGGCCAAGGCTGTCCCAAAAGTTGAGCGCACTGCCTCAAGCTCCATGGCAATCACCACGGCTCGTGGGAGGCCTCGTGGAGTGGACTTGGGCATGGGGGCTTGGAGGCATGAGGTAGCCTAGCTATTGCCTCACCCTCTACAAGCAGGACCATGGGGTGTGGTCCACTTCACAACTTGAGAAGGTGCACGTGAAATTGCCTTGGCTTATTAAAAAATGGGACACGTTGGGGGAGCTACTGGTCAAGGGACCATGGGCACCACCACAGACCGTGGGTCCCTTGATAAGGCGTGAGGGTGACTCGTGAAGGTCGCGTAGGTGTGAGGTGGCAAGGCTTTGAAGGCTTGGCCTTTCATTAGGACCACGACCTCCACCATGACTCGTGGTCATGACCGCTGATAGTGGGAGGTCTCGTGGTCATGGCTTGGACTCATGGGGATGTTGACCACCTAGAGGAGGCTACTTCCTCAGGGACCACGAGCACCCCCACGAGCCATGGTCCCTTGGACGGATAGTACAAGTGGTCGTGGTCACTGGACATGGCTGCCTAAATTAGGTGCGTTTGAGTAATTTCCTTTTTAGTTCAATTTAAGTGGGGGTGTTTTGGGTATTTTTAGGGGTAGTTTATATATTATTTTTAACTCAAATTTCACAAGACTAGGTCAATAATCACAAACACCCAAATTGAAATCAAAACTCCCTTCTCTCTCAAAAATTCTCTCTCTAAACTCAAGAACAAGAAGAAGCCATTGGAGCTAGGGATTGTAGATTTTCAAGGTTCTTCCCCAAAGTTATTGGTGAGTTTTAGACAAGGTATGGATTCTTTTAATCCTTGGATACCTATCACCTAAGGAGTCCCTACCAAATTATGTTTTCAAGATTTCAATCCCCCCTAATATCTATGGTTTTCAATTCATGTCATGGGCCTTCTTCTAAAACAATTTCACTTGTTTAATTGTGGATTGTTATGGTTAATTATGATGATTTTTGGTTGGAATAATGTATTATTGTTGGATATTTGATGAAAATCTACCTTCGACCCATGATTTGCCCTTCTTCCTAAAGTATGAATTATGTTTTGGGTTGATTGATGTTGAGAACTTGGCAATTGAATATATTTATGTTAATTAAGCTATTGAATCACGAATTCCTCCTATAATGTGTATTAATTGTATATGGTTGGTTGTATTGTGGTTTCAAGATCCTTGAAGGGCAAAGGTATGAGGGCAATACTTCTTTATAAGAATTGTGTATGAAATGGGGGTTTTCTTAAATAGTAATGATTCTATATCTATTGTGTAGTTGTAGTGTTGATGCAAGATCTTCCGTCCCTACACCCTTACACTTGAATTATCCATGAAATATGTATGTATGTTTATGGTAAGCTTGTTGGGTTGATTGAAAGGTCATACTCATGAACACACTATTGGTAAGATGTGAAAGGTTTACTCACATGTTGATGATTCAAAAGGTGAAAGGACATTCTCACCAAATGAATCTTTTATATCTTATTATATTATCTTGTCATGAATGCATAGTGCATTCTCCTGTGAATATAAATCTAAGTAAAGACTTAACATAAATCTTAAAGGGAATTATGCTTAGCACTGAGTAAATATGATGATGAGATGGGTTCCTTCACGCTAGTAGTTGGGTACCAAATATGGCTATCTCATGAGATGGAAACCTCCACGTTATTAGTCAAAGTTTCTAGAAGCAATCTGAAAGTTCTACCTTAGGGAAGTAGGACACCTCTTTTCGGTGTGGGGGTAGAATACCGGATTCCATGTAGCTCACATGGTCTTTGTCGGTTAATGTTATTCTTCCCTATATGATATGAATATGAACTATGGTAAGAACATGGATCTTAATTGTGACTTCTTGAGCGGTACTACTTAGTATGAGTGGTGGTGTGGGACTTCACTCATGTATTGCACAAGTAAACTTTAAGAGGGGTTATGGTGAGAATCTTTTATGATTATGATGACTTATTAATTACATATGAAAGGTATGTATGAATGTTAAGATTGACTTCGGTTGTTATAAGTTATGAACCTGAATGTCTCCTCTCTTATGTATGTTGGTTATGACTATGGAAAAGTATGGTATGCATGTTGTTGGTGGCCTAAATGTGATACTTAGCATTTGGTAGGGTTATGGGATCTTAACTTTGCATTGCACTAGTTTGGCTTTGGGGTGCTTATATGTTGGTTTGGCTTATGTTCTTAATAAATGTGCATAATGGCTTTTAAATATGAAAATGCATGATTTCAACCAAATATCCCTTTTGAGCATGTTTTAAGGATTTTTGTGTATGGCTTCCATAATTAGTACAATTAATTGTGATAACCCGTATTTTCTACTTTACTATAAGCGTTGGTTCCGGTCGTTGAGACTACTACTATATCTTTAAGTGAAGCTTGGTTTGACTATTCCCTAGGCTTGGTGAGTCCTCAAGTTCAAGGACAAGACGATCTCATTTCTTAGGTTTTATTGTTTTGTCTACTATTGAGACTATGTTGATGTAAAGGGCTTTTGACTGTATTTGTACTCTTTATGTACTATACGGTGATTGAGACAATGTCTAGACACTTACTTTCGTTGGTCAAAAAAGAGTTGACTTTGGTTGTAAAAGTTTTAAATTTTCCGCAATTATTTTAAGTATTTATGTTTGATGATGCTAAGGGCTTGTATGAGACCCCTTCGGGGTCAAGTACGCCGTGTCACGTGTAGGGGTACTCTTAGGTCATGACAAACTTGGTATCAGAGCATAAGGTTTTGGGATGATTTTAGGTTGATGTCTCATGAACCACGTCTAGTAGAGTCTTGTTCATGTGTGGGAAGCGCGCCACACTTATGAATGAGAGTCTATAAGATGTTTAGGAACTTTCACTTCTTCATTACTCTTTAGTCATGCCTTATAGTTTTAACTCTATGAAGTCCTTATTCCTAACCTTTTTCTTGTGTATATAGGAAATGAATACAATAAGGGCGAATGCAAGGAGGATGGAAGAGGAGAATGTGAATGAGGGAGTTCCTCCCCAAGCTGCCCAAAATCCTCAAGCTCCTAATGATGAGGGGGATATGACCAATGTGGATATAAGGACTGCTCTTCAAACATTGACTCATGCTTTAACGACTCAAGTCACTAGAGATGCTAGGGTGCAAGTGAACCCCAATGCAAGTAAAACTGCTTCAAGGATAATGGATTTCACAAGAATGAATCACCCAACATTCTATGGCTCCAAAGTGGATGAGGACCCACAGGGTTTTGTGATGAAGTGTTTAAAGTGCTTGATGCTATGGGTGTGTCTCCACAAGAGAAGGCAGAACTAGCCGCCTATCAATTGAAAGATATGGCTCAAGTATGGTATGAGCAATGGAAGGATTAGAGACCCGTAAGGGCAGGTCCCGGTATATTGGGGAGTGTTCAAGTCGGCCTTCCTTGATAGCTTTTTCTCCCTAGAGTTGAGGGAGAGAAAAAGGCAAGAATTCATCAACCTTCGCTAAATAGGTATTAGTATGAAGGAATATAGCCTCAAGTACACCCAATTGTCTAAGTATGCCCCAACCTTGGTGGAGGACTCTAGAGATAAAATGAAAAAATTTGTCAGATGGATATCCGACCTAGTGGTGAATGAATGTAGTTCAGCAACACTCATTCCAAGTTGAACATCTCAAGTCTTATGGTTCATGCCGAACGAATGTAGGAACAAAAGCTCAAGCAAGTGAATATAGAAATGAATAGGGCAAGGACCGATGATGGGAATTCTTCTAAGGGTAAAATTGAGGTTCAAGGAAAACCAAGGTTCAAGAAGAGATTTTCCAACCAAGGCTCCTATAGCAATCCTAAGGTCAACAAAGAAAGGGTATCCACCTCTAAGCCTCAAGGTGGTATTGGTGGGGATTCTGATGTTGATAGACCTACTTGTTCAAAATATTGCAAGAAGCATGAGGGGAAGTTCCTTGTTGGCATGGGTGAGTGCTTTAGTTGTGGGAAAAGTGGTAACATGAGCAGAGATTGTCCCATGGTAAGGGCTCAAGGAAGAGAGGGCAAACAAGTCCGTCCTAGTGGCTCTAATTTTGATGCTCCCAAGAAGAATCACTTCTATGCTCTCCAATCTAAAAGTTTTCAAGAGGGATCCCCAGTTGTTGTTACTGGTATGTTGCAAGTATTTTCCATTTATGTTTATACCCCTTTTGTGTTTATGAAATTTGATCTATCCCCCGAAAAGTTAGAGGAACCTTTTTTAGATTCTACCTCGGTTGGTGACTCTGTTATAGCTAAAAGAATTTAAAGGAGTTGTCCTATTACTTTGTCTCATAAAGTCACTTTGGTTGATTTGGTAGAATTAGATATGGTTGACTTTGATGTCATCTTGGGGATGGATTGGTTGCATGCTTGTTTTGCGACCATTGATTGTAGAACTCGGGTAGTAAAGTTTCAATTTCCAAATGAGCCCTTATTAGAATGGAAGGGGGGGAATCTCTATCCCTAGAGGTCGTTTTGTTACATATCTAGAAGCAAGGAAAATGATTTCCAAGGGGTGTGTTTAACACATTGTTAGGGTCATAGATGTTGAGTCCAAGACTCCTTCTTTAGAGTCGGTCCCCATAGTAAGGGAATTTCTGGAAGTCTTTCCGGATGACTTGCCCGGCATTCCTCCCGAATGGGAAATAGACTTCAGCATTGATCTTTTGCCGGATACTCAACCCATATTAATTCCTCCTTATCGGATGGCTCCGGGCGAGTTGAAAAAATTAAAGGAACAACTCAAAGATTTGTTAGCAAAGGGTTTATTCAACCAAGTATATCTCCATGGGGTGCCTCGATATTGTTTGCGAAGAAGAATGATGGATCACTTACGATATGTATAGACTACCGCTAATTGAACAAGGTCACTGTAAAGAATATGTACCCTCTCCCTTGAATTGATGCTTTGTTTGACCAACTCCAAGGGGCGAGTAACTTTTCTAATATTGACCTAAGGTCGGGCTACCACAAACTTAGGGTGAGAGGGGTTAGCGTTATTATGATGGCCTTTCAAACAAGATATGTTCACTACAAATTTCTAGTCATGTCTTTTGGTCTAACAAATACCCTAGCGGCATTCATGGATCTAATGAATAGGGTATTTAGGCAATATCTTGATTCGTTTGTAATCGTCTTTATTGACGATATTTTGATCTATTCAAGGAGTGAGGACGATCATATGAAGCATTTGAGGATCGTATTGCAAGTCCTTAAAAACCACCAATTATATGCTAAATTTATTAAGTGTGAGTTTTGGCTAAGGTCGGTTGCTTTCCTTGGTCACATTATGTCGAGCATGGGTATTGAGGTTGATCCTAAGAAGACGGATGCGGTCAAGAGTTGGCCTAGACCTCTATCTCCTACCATTATTAGATGCTTTTTGGGGTTGGCCGGTTATTATAGGAGGTTTATTGAGGGTTTCTCCTCAATTGCATCTCCATTGACGGCTTTAACACAAAAGAAAGCCAAGTTTGAGTGGACGGAGGCTTGTGAGAAAAACTTCCAAGAGTTGAAAAATAAACTTACCTCCGCTCCGGTGTTGACCTTACTGGATGGTACTGAAGGGTTTATGGTATATTGTGACGCTTCTCGAGTAGGTTTGGGGTGTGTCTTTATGCAACAGGGTAAAGTGATTGCCTATGCTTCAAGGTGACTCAAGGTCCATGAGAAGAACTATCTGACTAATGACCTCGAATTACCGGCGGTGGTGTTTGCTTTGTAAATATGGAGACATTACTTATATGTGGTCTATGTAGATGTGTTTACTGACTACAAGAGTCTCCAATATGTGTTTAGCCAAAAATATTTGAATCTCCGACAAAGAAGGTAGTTAAAGAATTTAAAGGATTATGACAAGAGTGTTCTTTACCACCCCGACAAAGCTAATGTGGGTGCGGATGTCTTGAGTAAATTTCCATGGGTAATGTGTGTCACGCCCCAAACTCAAGGGGCGCAACTGACTCCTAAAGCCAAAACTCAATCCCGAGCCGACCCTACCAAACCATTTGCTACTAGCGCATGGCAGTCACATGCAATTAAGAAAACAAACAAGTATATCTCGGCTTAAAACTAAGCCCTCGGCCGGCAAGGCCCCTGTCAACAGATCTACAAAAGAACCAGCTACACCCAAGAGTCCTGATTGGGCCGTCGAGGCCACCATGATATCTATACCAAAACTAAAAACAGGTAAATATCAGTACAATACATCAAACAATTCACAAGCCTCAGCAAACCAACAACATAGGCCAGCATGGCCATAACGTAGCTATAAACCCCACACACTAGTCTGCAAGCCTCTAAGAGTAGTAAAGATTGGTGGGACAGGGCCCCAGCCTACCCATGAGAATATATACAACAAAAGGTAACAAACCTCCCAACTCTGGCAGCTCCGGAGGAAAGGGGCTGACCAATCGGATAAAAGTCAATCCTGCTGATATGGAGGTCTACTCGGTCATCTGTCAGGACCTGCATGCATGAATGTAGCACCCCCAAGGCAATTGGGCGTCAGTACAAAATAATGTACAGAGTATGAAAGGCAATAGACTATGATGAGGTATCCTAATATACTGGGATAATCTGATAAATAAATTAAGGATAAGATAATTGTACTGACCTGCTTCTAAATCTAAATTTATCAAAAATAATAAAACAACAACCTAACCAAGCCCCCAAAAGCTCGGTAGGTACAAACAACACACAAGACCACCTACTCAGTCCCCCATAAGCCCGGAAGGTGCCAATCAGCTTGTATACCCCTATCGGTAGTCCCCTAGCCCCGCAGGCAGTCACATAGCCCTCTTAGGCATCAACATATCTTATAGACAACTCATAGCCCTCTTAGGCAACAACATGGCCCTGTAGGAAGCACATAACCCTCTTAGGCGTCAATATATATCCCTGTAGGCAACTCATAGCCCTTCTAGGCATCAATATAGCCCCGTAGGCAACTCATAGCCCTTTTAGGCATCCATATAGCCCTGTAGGCAGAACATAACCCTGCTAGGCATATATCACATTCCTGCAGCTAACAACAATAGCCCAAAGGCAACAATAAACCAAACTCAACAGCTAAAAGTGAGCAATTTAGTGATAAGCAACCTATACAAATAGCCTCTAAGTCGTGTCCAACATACGAATGTTACTACTGAATAAGAATCTCGATAAGAGAGGTTTGTTTATACGCACTTGAGCAGCCAACAATCAACAATAATAGCTATAAGTATAACAACGATAACAACTCAATTACATTGCTCCTAAGCTTTAAGGAAACATGCCATAGGAAGTAAATAGCCTTAACATACCTTTTTCGCTAAATTCACGTGGCCTAAAGACTTTAACTCATAACTCCCTCGATACTACAACAAGGTAGGACCATAATCAACACATAAAATAAAAGATACCATGACAATACAATAAAAGATATGTATTTCCGTCGCAAATTGCTATTTGCTGCTTATAAAAGCTAGAGTCGATGAAAGAAGGGTCTTACCTCGATCTTAGGTTCGTAATTCACCTCAAAACCTTCAAATATATTCAAACCCCTGCTGCCCCAACTCTAAAATGTGATATGCTACGCAATCGATAAAACAAATTATACCACGATGATGAGCCCAACGCGTAGAACAACTTTCGTCAAGGACTTACGTCGAGAAAATATATATTTCACTTGATCCTAAAAATGGGTTTCTATGTTTTCTCTGTATATTTAGCTTAAAATGAAGAAAAAACTCGAAGAAGAAGATATATACAACTTTCCACCGACCTAGGGCCCCACCTCACGTGCCTGCTTGCGCAATCCCACGAAAATGCGAATATCTCTCTATTGTGAAGTCGTATGAATGAACGGTTTGATGCGTTGAAAACTAGACTCGTAGAACTTCGATTCGATAGCTTGTGAGCCCCATCACTCTTTATAAATTGGGAGAAAACCTCCAAGACATTTGACCCAAATTTCAGAGAAATCTTTAAGCTGGAACTTACGATAACTTCCGCCAACTTTTATTTTGCCACTTACCTAACTTCAAAACTTGAGATGCAACACTTGAACACTTAAAATAGGACATACCACATCATTCTTAATTTATTACTCACCCTCCTTGTCTTTCCACAAAGATACAAGTTAATTTAGACGTTTTGAAAAGTCGGGGTGTTACATTCCTCCCCCCTTAGGAACTTTCGTCCTCGAATGAAAAATCTGAGGCACACTATTCAGTCCTTAGGACTTGCCAGAATTTTGGCAGTGTATCCTTTGTAAATGTCAATATCTAGGAACCTGAAATGCAAAATTTCTAACGTAGGCGTCTCACATGACAACATAAATAACTAAGCGTTATAGCTCCACCACAACAGTGCGAGCAGACATACAACGACAACCACAATAATAATAATAAGTAATAGTATATATATATATATATATAGGTATCTTACCTTAATTCCCTAATATAAACTGATATGACATCACCCTGGGGTATGAAACAAGTGAGGATATTTGGACCTCATGACATCCTCAGCCTCCCAGGTCACTTCTTCTCTATTTTTATTCCTCCATAATACTTTAACCGAAGCCACCTCTTTGGTCCTCAATTTACGGACCTACCGATCTAATATAGCAAGTGGAGTCTCCTCGTAGGACAACTCCTCTGTGATCTGAACATCCTCAATTAGGACAACCCGAGAAGGGTCTCCTACACACTTCCGTAACATTGATACATGGAAAAGTGGATGAACAGATTTTAGCCCTGAGGGCAATTCTAACTCATAAGCCACACGTCCTACCCTCCGAAGGATCTGGTATGGCCCAATGAATCTTGGACTAAGCTTTCCCTTTTTGCCAAATCGCATATCACCCTTCATAGGTGAGAGTTTTAAGAATACCCAATCATCGACACAAAACTCTAAGTCCCTTCGTCGTACATCTGAGTATGACTTTTGTCGGTTTTGAGCTGTTAGCAACCTTTCCCGAATGAGCTTAACTTCCTCCACTGTCTGCTGGACTAAATCGGGTCCAATCAACCCTGACTCACCTACCTCAAACCATCCAATGGGGGATCTACATTTTCTTCCATACAAAGCCTCATAAGGTGCCATCCCGAAGCTAGAATGATAACTATTATTTTATGCAAACTCAATAAGAGGCAAGTGGTCATCCCAACTTCGCTTGAAGTCTAGCGCGCACGCCCGTAACATATCTTCGAGTGTCAAAATTGTTCGCTCAGCCTGGCCATCTGTCTGAGGGTGAAAGGCGGTACTAAGATTAACTTGTGT